TATGTATGTATGTATGTATGTATGTATGTATGTATGTATGTATGTATATGTATGTATGTATGTATTAAACGGACGAATTCGTTTTGCCGCCATTTTGCTCGTTTGACTCGGCGTCTTCGCGCCCCGCTGCCCGCGGACGATTTCGCCAACAATTTCGACGTCGCGAAGTCGTGAAGTCGTGAAGATTCGAGGACACACACAACTCCGCGGCGATCTGGGGCATCGTCCACATCGGGTGAGTTTCGCGTGCGACCGGCAAACGTCATACGGTTCGAGTTCGATCGTTCGTTTCCGTTAGTCGAACGGGATTTTGAATCCGCAGCGCGACGCGAATGGTGGGCGCTGGAAACGCCGAGACGTGTCGGTGATTCCGATACTTATTTCCGATCTCTCGGCTCTCGGCTCCTATCGTTCGCTGTCGTTCGATCTGGTTCGATTGTATTATTCCCGCGTCCGCGATCCGCGACGCGAGAATGTTCACGCGGTGGTGAAACGTGATCGAGAGGAAGGATTTCGGGAAGGAGAGATTTGCGAGTTGGGACTTGGCGATTGTCAGCGATTGTGTTGACGAACTTCGCGCGGGAAAGATCGGCAGGCGAGTGCGGGCGCGACGGTGCCGCGTACCGAGACAGGACGATTCTTTTAACGACGTGTTTCACGTGCTCCCGAATGAACACGCGTTGACAATTTCGTACGATAGACCCCGGGTCGGGCCGATCGGCGATGTTGTCGGTCAGCTAACCTCGAAACGCAACGCGTGTGCAACGTATGTACAACGACCGCGGCAGTAGAAGCGGCTCCGGATGGCGAGCGACTCCCAGGCGAAAAGGAGCACCCCCGGCGAGGTCGACATGGAAGCCGACGCACGGGACACGGGGTATGACACGGACGAGGAGGGCGGTCTGAGGGTGGACGACGAGATATACATCCCGCCACCTCTGAAGAATTTTAACGAGGTCGACGAGACCGGATCCAGGCTCATGATCACTAAGATTGTCAACGAAAACTTCAAGAGCTATGCCGGCAAACACGTGATCGGCCCTTTTCAAAAGGTAACCATCTCGGTGCCTGTGCCTCAAACGTTCTTGAGCTGGTTTCTTTTCTTTCAGAGCTTCTCGGCGATAGTGGGCCCCAATGGCAGCGGCAAGAGCAATGTGATAGACTCCATGCTGTTTGTTTTTGGCTACCGTGCCAGCAAGATCAGGTCAAAGAAGATATCTGTCCTGATACACAATTCTAGCGAACATCCTAAGTTGAATAGCTGCACTGTCTCCATACACTTCCAAAGAATTATTGATAAGGTAACGATAATGACAATTTGCACATTAATATATAAGTACAAGTACGACAGTTACATTATTAAGCTAATTAACTTTTAATCAAATTAATTTTAAGCCTGGTGAAGACTATGATGTTGTTCCCGACAGCGAGTTTGTCATAGCTAGGACAGCGTTTAAGGACAGTTCATCGTATTATGAGCTTAATAAGAAGAAAGTACAATTTAAAGAGATTGCCAAGCTCTTGAGGTTTCATGGAGTTGATTTGGATCACAACCGTTTTTTGATATTGCAGGTAAAATCACAGAATATTTCATTATAGGTAGAACCGTGGGTAGAACCTAGGAATAGATTTAACTTTGAAAAGTTAAATGTTTGTATGAACATACAACTTATTTAATTTTGTTTTTAAGTATTTTTTAATGTAATTTTTTGAAAAATTTTTGTGATAAAACAAGTTTTATGTAGCTATTTTCCTAGATTAATATAACCAATTCTATACAGATTTATGGACTATTTTCTATACACATTTTACATTTAGTATTTTACAAGTTTCCCTATTTTTTTTTTGAAAGAATTAACAAAATATCTACAAAAGTTCATTATTAAACTATTTAAATTATATAGGGTGTTTTGTTTTAATTTCCCTAGGCAAATATCTCGGAAAATATGGAAGATACGGAAAAACGGTTCTTGAGTGATCTTTTTAATGTGATCGATGTTTTCTTAAATGGAATTCCCCAGTTTTTATTGCATATTTTTGTAGCCCTTGTCGAGATGTTTTTAAAACACTGTAATACGAATCTCAGGATATCCTTGACGAAAGAGAGCTTTATTATAGTGTTGAAAACGTCTCGACAAGGACTACAAAAATATGCAATATGCAATAAACAAAGGGGGATTCCATTTAAGAAAACATTGATCACATTGACTTGGTATTGAAAAGATCACTCAAGATCAAGTCCATAATTTCATTATTTGTCCCCTTTGATATCTTACAACTTTTGTCTCAAATCTTTTTCCATATCTTCCATATTTGCCGAGATATTTGCCAGGGAAAATTATGTAAAACGAAACACCCTGTATATTCAAAATTAATATAACATTTGTAATGTTAATGTAACACTATATTGATTAAATTTCAATTTTATATCGACAAATAATAGCATGGAAAACGGTTCTTATAGGGTGAAGTAGAGCAAATTGCATTGATGAAACCTAAGGGCCAACAAGAAAACGATACTGGAATGTTAGAATTTCTAGAGGATATTATTGGCACATCTCGCTATAAAGAACCTTTAGAGAAATTAGCGAATAAGGTTGAAGTATTAACAGAACGTAAGTTAGAGAAGCTACATCGTCTCAGAGTGGTGCAAAAGGAGAAAGAGGCCCTGGAGGAGCCTATGCAAGAGGCAGTGCAGTACTTGAAGACAGAGAATGCAATAATCAGATTGCAGCATCAGCTTTATCATTGTAAAAGGTGAGTTAAATACAAAAATGTTTTTATATTATTTGATTTATTTGTGGAGTATTACGGCAGCTCAGATAATTATTGAAAATCATGAAATATTTCTGTCAGATCTGAGGCAACAAAGGAACTTACCGAGTGCGAAGAGAAAAACAATGCTCTTAACAAGGAACAAGCCACTTTGATGGTCGAGATTAATAATGTTCGCAAACAAAAGGAAGAAAAAATCAAGATTATCAAAGAGAAGAGTAAGAAGTGGGACGCTTTGCAACGGCAGAAAGATGAAACTACGGCGAGGTTTGACGAAGTGCGTAAAAAGGATGAATTACTGCACGCCGAATTGGTTGAAACAAACAAGCGACGAAAAGCCAACATGGCGTCCACCAAGACGGTAATCTTTTACTTTATCTTATTATCTTAACAAAATAATATTGAATTTACATACAAATTATAAATATTAGAGTTTTTTGTTTATATTAAATTACACGGTTGGCAATTGCAATGATGATAGGAGAAAAGCAGGCTGGAGGAACTACTGAAGGTACCAGAGAAAAATACGAAAGACATCGAAGAATGCGAGCGTCTAATCGCGACGTATACGGCTAACAAAGAAAAGGAAGAGACCTCGTTGGCAACCTTGATGGCAAATCTGCGGGAAAAGACAGAACCATTGCTGAATGAACGATCCAAATTGGAGAAAGAGCTGATATCTCTTAGGAAAAACGTGGATCAGGCGAAAGCGGCATACGATATTGCACAGTCTGAGCTGGAACTTTATATATCGGTGGAGAAAGTTGAGAAGGAGAAATTAGAAAATCTCCGGGAGTCTTTAGAAAGAACTGCGAGTACTCTCAAAGAGCGACAAAAGCAGCTAGCATTGTTCGAGACGAAGATCCCGGCAACCGAACGCAGTTTGAAGCAAGCGCAGAGTGAACTGGATGAGGCAAAAGCACTCGAGGTTGAAAAGGCCACGCAGCTGCAGAAATTGCGAATTACTTTTGAAGAGCAGCGTTCTGCCATGCAGGCCAGCAAGTCGCGGAATCGCGTTCTGGATTCATTAATGAGAGAAAAGCGTGAGGGACGGATACCTGGGATATTTGGGAGATTGGTGAGTGTCGCAGAAACTTCTCGAAGCGTGGGATAATAAAATTGAGTTGCATTTGTTATTTAAGACAAACTCTCCAGTAGATTTCTTAAAATAGCATTTTGCATGAATTTCTTTTTATATAGGGTGACTTGGGCGCCATTGATGCCAAATACGATGTCGCTGTGTCGACGGCATGCGGTCCACTGGACGACATCGTTGTAGACACAGTATCCACGGCACAGGCGTGCATCACTTATCTGCGGCAACATAACATAGGACGCGCCACATTTATAGTTCTGGAGAAACAGCAGCGATTTCAGGACAAAATCGGTCAGAAGATCCAAACACCAGAGAATGTACATCGACTGTTCGATTTGATTAAAGTGGAGGATGAGCGGGTGCTGTTGGCATTCTATTATGGTCTGCAAAACACTCTGGTAGCGCAGAATTTGGATCAGGCAACACGTATCGCCTACGGCAGAACGCGTTATCGCGTGGTGACGTTGAAGGGCGAATTGATTGAGCTGGCGGGCACGATGAGCGGTGGTGGGCGCTCATATCGAGGTCGGATGGGCCAGACGGTGGTGAGGAACGAGCCGTCAAACGCTGATATCGAAAATCTGCAGTCGCAGTTGGATACTGTGTTTGAAGAGTGCAATAAGCTGAGAATGAAGCAGCAGCCGCTTGAACAACAAATCCATGTGCTGTCGACCGGCTTGAGGGATATGAAGGTCGACAGGCAGAAATTCGGTATCGAGGTACAGACGCTGAGCGAGCAGGAGCCATCGTTGCGAGCACAGCTGAAGGCGCAGGAAAAGACTGCCGCTAATTCGGTGTCGGACCCGAAGAAGGTTGCGCAATTGCAGAAAGCAGTAGACGCGGCAAAGTTGCATCTGGACAAAGTCGAGAAGAGCTCCGCTTCGGTGGAAAAGGAAGTAGAATATATCAATAAGAAGATAGATGAGATCTCCGGCAGTCGGGTGCGAGATCAGCAGGCGAAAATTGCGCAGCTGAACAAATCGATAGACAAAGCAAAGGCAGAGATATACCGGCTGCAGGTAGCTATTAAGACTGCTGAGAGAAACGTGAAAAAGACAGAGAAGCACATAGAAACGCTAGAGAGCGATGTGCATACCTGCGAGCAGAGACTGAGGGACATTCAGAAGGAAAAGTCTGAGCTCGAAGAACATGCTAAAGCAATTCTGGATGAATTGAAGGAAATTAACGAAGCGCTAGTAGAGCGGGACGACGCTACAGCATCTTTAAAAGATGAACTGAACGAACTGCAGGCGAGCGAGAACAAGCTGAAAGCGGTGAAGATTGACCTAGATCAGAAATTGCACGAGAGTAGGAAGCTTTTAAAGGAGCTCGAGCAAATAATTCCCGACTACAACCGGAAAATTGCGCATTTAAAATTACGTGAGATTCCTCACGAGGCTCTGGAGCCACTTAATGATCTGACGGAGGAGCAGATCGATCAGTTGGACGCGAAGATGGTGACGCAGAATTTGCAGAAGGCTAAGAAGAGGTTACCTGAGCAAATACCCAACATGCAAATCATTGCGGACTATCAGGAGAAAGATGCGCTGTACATGAACCGTGCCGCTGATCTGGAGGAGACCACGTCAGAACGTAATAAGATGCGCGACATTTATGAGACCGCTCGGCGACGTAGGATCCAGGAATTCCTACACGGTTTCAGCTTAATCACTACCAAACTGAAGGAGATGTACCAGATGATCACGCTGGGCGGCGATGCGGAGCTGGAGCTAGTGGACTCGTTGGATCCGTTAAGCGAGGGTATCGTATTCAGCGTGCGTCCGCCTAAGAAGTCGTGGAAGAGCATCGACAAACTCAGCGGCGGTGAGAAGACCCTGAGCTCGTTGGCGCTGGTCTTCGCTCTCCACCATTACAAACCCACGCCGCTGTATTTCATGGATGAGATTGATGCAGCGCTCGACTTTAAAAACGTCTCCATCGTCGGTAACTATATCAAAGAGCGCACGAAGAACGCGCAGTTTATCGTCATTTCACTGCGCTCGAACATGTTCGAGCTGGCCGACTCTCTGGTGGGCATCTACAAAACGTTTAACTGTTCCAAAACTGTGACTCTACAACTGGCCCGTTATTATGAAAACAATGGTATCGCGCCTCCCACGCAGCTCACCTCCAAGACCTACGCGTCCCAGGCCTCGCAGAAATCGCGATTGCCCTTGACGCAACGCACTCAGGCGAGCTCGCGCAAGGAAAACACCGCGCCCGCGAAGAATAATAAGGAGAAAGGGTCATCTTTGAATGGCGAAGAGACGTCGCCCGCGAAGAACAATAATGCGAAAGGGGCGTCATTGAGTGGGAAAGAGACGACACCCGCGAAGAAAAATCACTCAAAGGAAACTCCATTAGATGAGGACACAAACGCAAAAAATAATGCAACGACGACACCGAACGGGAAGCGGTTAAAAGTCGATCGACTAGGGTATTGAAGTCATTATTTTTTTAGATTCCAGATTTCTCATTGTAAACCATATTGCATTATGAGGTGAAAAATTACATAATTTTCTAAATTGCATTATACGAAATAAATTTGTTTTTTGTATACATGATAAATATGGCGGAAGCTGTTTTTAATCTTTCATTGAATAAGATACTGAACAATTACTGAATTACTGATCTTGACAAAGATTATTTTATTTTTTACTACTTAATCAATTGAATTAGTAAATAAAGAATATGTTTTTTACAATAAAGAGATTAGATATTAGTTGTCTTGAGTCATCACGTGAAGTAATTCCTTTCTTGATCGGCTCTTCTTTGCTTTATTTCAAACCGTCCAATTGCATACTATATTTGCAACTGTTAATGCGAAACTTGTAACGCCTAGAGATACGTAAGCTAAAGCAAAATGAAAGAAAAAATTCAAAGATATTAAATTGAAAGGACTTTTATTGCATTATAATATAATAACTTAAAAAATAAGTATCTTTCGCTAAAATTCACGCAAGCTGATAAATAACGATGTTTATTCCGGTAATAAAAATAATAAAATTTTGTAAAGCAACAAAAGAAATAATTGAAATAATTTTATTATCTGTCATTATAAATTTTACATTGAAATTTATCGTTACATCATTAATGTTAATTGTTGCAGTCTTCCAGAATTAGCAGTATGCCCGACGCCGCAGCAATCGCCAACAACTCGACGTTCCGCTAGGATCGTGAGAAAAAGCACGGAAAGAGAAGAGAATGGGATTACCAAGGAACCTGTTAGGAAAAAACAAAAGTCGAAGTGATCGTGTGATGCGACATTTCCATAATCAAAGAACGGCACGTGCGAAACGATCGCGCGAAGCTTGTTATCAGAAACTAGTATAAATACCTATTATAAGTTAATAATATAAATGCCGTTACTGTTATCTTTTTGGACAGTAAATTGCAGCTTAAGGTGCGACTTTATTTCTTATTTCCGTAACTATTTAGTGTTGGCCGAGAGTATGAGAGAACTAACTTACTATGTGGAAAGTTATCGTAATGGTATTACAGATAAAATAGATAAATAATTGTCGATATAATTCTATCTTTTTGTAAATTTAATGTTACACACGCAAGTTTTCAGTTCTCTCACGATTCAAGGTTTTCTATAATATGTAAAGATCTATATTTGAGAACGATGCTTGTGTGTAGCGGAATAGAATACAGGATTTGCTCTTTTTATCTGTACTTTTTGTAATTTCTTGCGTTTTACATTTTTTTCTTTCTAGCCTTAAATACCAAAATATGCATACGTATTTTGTTCTGAATACATATAGTATATATACATATAACTTAGTTCAGTTAAGAGGAGCGGATCCATAAGTGCAAAATGCAATATTTTTATACGTTTGTACATGTCGCCAGAAACTATATTAAAATATGATTCCTATTGAAACAAGAACTGGAATACTTTACACGCCTAATTTTATTGCCTATCGCATAATCCTGTCACGTTGATCTTTATTTACTCTTGTCATAATTTTTCCTCAAAATTATGAAATGCATCTTTAGTTGTAAGAATCATTGCGCATGCTTGCCGAGTTTCAGGCGTTTGGATGTCCACCTCAAGTGGTCACGATTACGTTAGCATCACATGAATGAGTGGTACGCTTAAAAACCCGGAAAAGTCTCAAGGCTGGTCGCGCGCGTTTGCCTCACCGTGAAATGACCTGGATCCTTCAGGTTTGTTTTGTACTCTCCTGAGCAGTGTTTCTCCCAAAAGAAGGATTCAAGTCGCGATATTAGACAATATCTCGATATCTGTGCGAAGGAAATCGGATAAATCACCTGTTGAACGATGACGACGACGACGGTGACGACAGCAACGATGACGGCAGAGAGAGGGGGCAGAAATGAGACCAAGGAGGAAGGGGCATGTCGTATAAGTATCGCTACGACGGGCGAGATAAGGATTCTAATGAAGTGCGAGGACACGCGGCGCGTGAAATGACGGCTATCATAAAGGACGACGACGCCGATGTCGTCGAGAAAGCGTCGCGCAAGATGCCCGCCGCCGTGGCGTCTCGCCCGACTCTGCAACAGAGCTGTAAGAAAACCGCCAGTGACTGTGGATAATTTAATTAATACTTGAATTTAAAACTCGAACGAGGATTTAATCGGCGATTAAAGGATCCGTAATCGATGGAGCTTATCTTGAAGATCAGGTTTCTTATTGTTAGATCTATATTGTGCTCGATAAATAAATTTTTGAAAAGAGAAGTTAACACTACATGTCTATGAGGTACCTAAAAGATCTTTCTATCTTTTTATAAAATATAGATTTAACAAGAGGTATGCTCGGTCGACGTGTAAACGAATGTTGAATGAAAGGCTTCGAGCATGTATTTTTTTTGTGACTAATTGTAAATATTAAATTCAGGATCAGATTGTGAATTTAAATCGCTCCGAATCGTTCGAACGGATCGTTTGTCGTTGAAAATTTCATTCAAAATCTCGCAAAGTGTTGACGCACATCCTCATCGCGCCTAGGAAAACATTTGTAGCTTCATCAAGTTTGAAGCCATCGAATTTAGGTGATTTACATATTTGCTTGTTTTTTCCACTTTGTAATGGGACAAGCTTGCAAATTGTGACTTGACGCAAAAATAGCCAGTGTATCCATAGCAGTTGTGAAGTGCATTAAATTAATTTTGCCATCAAACCAGTCGTGGCTGACGATCATCAGGCGAACGTAATCGTTGACATTGGTTTAGTGATCGTGAAGAAACGCTGAAATAAAACCACGCGTGAAATTTATCTCCATATTTTTATCTACAAAAATTAACAAAAGTGCGAAACAGTGAAAGTCGACTAATAACGGCTTATCGCTCGAGTTATTTGAGTGATATAACGAATTCTAGAGTTTATTCGTGCGCGAAGTAATCTCTCGGTATGCACCGTCAGATAATACCACGTGAACTCGTCCTTTTTCTTATCATGAATGTGCAATCGTCCAGCTGCAGTGCGGAAATGCTTCCTAATTGTTTGTGTAATTGCGTTGTTGAACTTAGCAAGATCACCTTGGAGATAGCGTAGCGAAATGCACTCAATATCTTTTTCAGCGTAGAAAAGTCAGACCTGTAGAAAAATACATTTTGCACGATGAGTATAAGTTGTGTTTGCAAGGCCGGTCACAGAGAAAGCAGTTCTTGAATTAAATTTAGTATTTATATTATGTTGTCCTACAATGCTTTCAATAAAGGATCCATTGTATTTCTAAAAGCGATAATACGAACGAAATAATATAAAGTAATAAAAATGTAAAACTGATAATAATTAAAAAAATCGGGATAACGACAGTGCCATTCAACAATTAGTGAGGAATAATATTTCGTATATAAAGCGAAGGGAGGTACGAAAAATTTTTTAGATGTAACTTTTTCAAATCTTCTACAATAGGCCTAGTTGTGTTGCACAATCCGAGTCTTAATCCCGTAATTATCCACAGAGAGATGTTGAAAGTGTTTTCCTAGCTTGCACTCGATGATAACTCTCTTGTTTATCGTTATTTTATCGGGAATTATCGGGCGCGCAAGTTGTAAGTTCGCTTCGTTTCGACCGCAATAAAAAACGATTCATCGCGACCAACATTATCGGAATGAGTTGCCGTTTGCAACTCGCGATCGATGATCCAGAAGTGTGGACCGCGCGCGATCGACGGGTTCATGGATTCATTTCGCCACGTGTTATTTTTCTGGCATTAATGAGTAATGTCATGTTTATAAAAAAAATATGTTTGTGTAAATTATATATATTATACCATGATACCTTGATACCTTTACAAATCTCATTGCAAATCACCGCGGCTTATCTTCGTGTGATTGCCTTTGTGCCTTATCGGGTTTCATCCGCTACATCGACTCCGTTATCATCTCATTTCGTTGGAAAGAGAAATTTAATCTATCGATTAAGAGAGTCTATGACAATTCATATTTTCCTTAAACATGTGACTTAGTTCTGACTGCTATCGCATAGTACATAGTTCTAAAAGAATGCTTACGGACGTTGATAACATATTTCTACTATTGCTAAAATGATAAATACCGATACGTCTCCTGAAATTCCAGTGAAGCTTCTCGTTTTTATATCCTCTTATATGATCGCGGATATCTTACTTGATGAAATTTGCGATGACAAAACGTTAATAAAAAAATACAATATATTGATCTCGAAATAATTACATTATTAATAATATATGAAATCTGGTAAATTTCAAGACAATTTCTCTAGCACAAGCAAACAATACTTTTTGTGTGCGGTTATTTTGTGCATAAATTGTTAATATCCAAATTGTTCTTTCTGAGAAAGAAAAACTCTTAATTTACGAAAAATCTGAAGAAACGTCATATGCATTTTTTTCGCGTTATCCACCCGTTTTTTTCCTTCACACTATTTCGCTGTTAATGCTAATTAATCGGCACATATCTACGTAATTATACGTATCTTGTACAATTATGTAAGGATTAGTAGTGACTTAGTAACGAAAAATTATTATGCACGAACTTCAATCGCGTTATTTAAGTCAATAACACTCATAAGTAAAAACTGAAAATTAAATTAAATCTACAAATTAAATAAATGAGGATTTGTAAACAAGAATTTTTATACGAAATCGTTGATTAGAAAGTAAATTTTGCAAGCTGATATCTCTTATCATTGTTAAATAATTGATGTTGATGCAGATGGATGTTCGTCGTATTGTCAGATTGAAGAGATTGTAAACACTATTTGAATTTGTCATCGCGGAATATCTATGTTTCGTTTGGCAAGAAATTTTCGTTTGAACATTTTGACCTAGAGAAATACGACCATGTTTATTTGTTTTTCTAAAGCCGCGTCATGCGAGCGAAACTCGCTTTCGAGACTTCTATACCTCTAATTACACTAATCGGACTTGTTGCTTGTTATCGCTAGCAGAATTTATCTACATAGATTACTGTTACTACAATTCCAGCAACTACTTGAAATTTGACTCAATAATTATACATTTATCGGGTGTTCCCGTTTTAAAGTGTCTTCCAAAGTTTAAACTGAGTTTTTTAAATGTAAAAAATTATTACTCATCTGATGGGTATGTAATTTATTTTCATTGTATTATTATGTCTCATTGTTATTGTTATTATCATAACTTACTACTTGTGTTTTATCAATATCTATATCGTTAGTTACAGTACCACAATTAACATTTTACTCTTATTATGTAGTTTTTTTACTTTCCAAGGCCACATATACATGGCATAATTTTACAACTTGTTATTTATATTGGAATCCTTCTTGTTCTTTATACTTAATTTATTTGCTTACCGCTAATTATTTAAGATTAATCCAAGATTAATTTTAACGCTGTGATAACAATCATTTCTAAACCAAGATGCCTTTAAAGAATACTTTTAAAGAACAATGGATAAAATACCTAGCTGATTTTGGCCTCGCCGATGGAAGTGATGGAACCTACTTTCTTATGCATGTTTTTTTATATTTTTTAATGTGCTGAATTATTATCAAACGTTTATTTTAAACTGATATTTTGGAAAATAGCGAAAATTGCTAAGTAGTAATTCAAAGTAGCAGATTTGTAAAAATCTGAACAAAAACTCAAAAATATATAACATTTTTTTATCTTCTGTTTCTCTTTCTACTATCTCCCACCTCGCTCCTTCCATTCTTATTTAACATTATCCATTCTAACATAAAATAATCAGAGCAGCGTACTTTTCTCTGCGCCACGATCGCCATCTCAGTCTATATCAGTCTAAGTTTTAAAAAATAAAACAATCTTTTTTCTTAAATATCTTGAATCCATTTTTCCTTGTATATCTCAAAAATGTATGCAGGGTGGATAACTCAAATATTTTCAGATGTGGAATTATTATATATTTATCAATCAAGCAAAGACAAATCTATCTTTCCCCCGAATTTATCCTTTTTAAAAATATAGAATATTTTTACACTTTGAAAATATATGCAGGGAGAGAGAGTGTGTGAGTGTGTGAGAAAGAGGCAGAAAGAGAGAGAGAGAGAGAGAGAGAGAGAGAGAGAGAGAGAGAGAGAGA